TGTCAACAAATGCAAAGAGTTATAATTCGTTATGATTTGAGAATCTGTCTCTTAATAACCATATAACTATCCCTAATGTATTACGGGAAGGAATTCGATAAACCCTTCAACACAGAAGTTATTCATTACATGGAATCTCCAATGTTGTACAGTAGAGTAGTTGATCTGTCACCGTGCATCATTCCAGTTTGACACACGAACATGCACAGAAGCTTCCAAATTCATAAACATACAATAAGATGAGGAAAACTACCGTAATTTCTATCTCATTTTTTTTGTGGATACTGTACGTTACATTCCATCTTATACTTACACAGAGGGCAAGTATACGAGAAAGAATATAGTCCTCCTCTCTGCCCGCATGACGGACAATCACCTGGGAACGAAATCGGGAAGCCCATTGGCGGCGGCTTGGGGGGTGGAGTCGGTGGATCCTTCTTCGGCGGATCCTTCTTCGGCGGATCCTCCTTCGGCGGATCCTTCTTCGGCGGATCATTCTTCGGCGTAGTGGCAGGTGGATCTTTTTTCGGCGTATCTGTCTTTGTGGTTGTCGCAACAGAAACGCAGGCCGCTTTTTCCTTGATTTTCTTCTCTCGCCTCCGGATGTAGTAGTAGAAAAGGAAACCGCCGAGTATGGCGACAACAATGACTATGCCGACAATGATCCATGTCGGAGTGTTGTTATCATCATCGTCGGACGATACAGAATTTGGATCGATCCATCCCGTTGGAGGTGGAAAGTATTGGAAATCCGGATAAGTTTGTGGATAGTTACTGTTCTCCATCAAGAAAACTCTGTGCAGTTCAATACAAGCAGTGAGTTTATAAACATATTCTGAAGCATCAAATTCAAAAGGCATTAACTTTTTCATCGCGATGAATTGAGAAGATCACATGATTCGAGCGCAAGACCGAGATGATTCGATCCGGAATTCAGCGAGATATAATGTGAATCTGAAGCAGGTGCTTGCACATACCTTCACAAGAAGAACCGAGCAAACCAGTGAACGATGTTGTTGCTCCTGCTGTTCCGCGAGCTGCTAAGAAGTGAGAATTTTCATTAGTGTGGCCTCATTATAATGGCTTTCTATCCCCTCCCCCATATGGGTGATGGGTGTGTGTTAACGCGTCATTTTCTTTATTGTGAGGATGTACGTAATATGAATAATTGAAGACGACAGGACAGAGTTGGGAAATTTCGTCTCACGTACCAAACGGCAATGATTTGACATTAATGAAATGATTTGCGGATAGAAACGAACAATGAAGAAGCATGTGACCTCTCAAGTTCTTTATGAACGGACATCTTCACGATTTTTCCATGGAATTTGAGAATCTATGCATGCTCGTAATCATGTCTCTTCGTGTAGCATGTGGTAGGAATAGGCGTCGTACTCCAATGATAATGTGATGATATATTCCAAATTTGGTGTACGTGAGCTTGAATAACATATGCATAGAGGAATTATACAACTAAGGAGAAATAATTTGGAGATGTTAAGGCAGAGGATCCTTGCCCTTTGACACGTAGTCCATGGAGAAAATTGTTTTGTTGAAGTGAACTGTAGATGGTGTTAGTGAAATCGAAGTTTGGCGTTAGAGAGATGATACGGGAAAATTGTCCAAAAAATTTTAAAATTACTGTACTTTTGTTAATTCAGTCCAAAACATTTTAATTTTGTCAATTCAGTCATAAACCCTTTGGCAATTTACCAAGTGAGTCCATTTGACTAATTTTGATCGGAAATTGCTAACGAAGACACCGACCATCCTACGTGGTACGGTATGTTAGCGCTGATGTGGACATTTTTAATAAGATTTTGAATTTTTTTATGGTTTTTTTTCCTTTTCTTTACTTTTTTTTTGTTGTTTGGAGGGATGGCGAGCGAGGGTCGCTATCCAACCCCTGCCGGCCACAGGCATGGGCCAGTGACCCTCGCCTGCGACGCCCTCGTTGACCAAATGCTTAGATCCGGCCAAGCGAGGGCCACCAAGCCTTCGCCTAGCCTGGGTGAGGGCTCGCACTGTAAGGACCCGGGGGGCTATCATTGTGTAATATTGTTCGCTTTAGGTCTATTGACCCTCACAGCTTTAAAATGCATTACACAGAGTAGAGAACCCCAAGCCTTATCAACTAGCCCATGACTCTCCCTTAGCGATGTGGGACAAGAGACATGCACTTAACCTCGGCCCGCGCACGTCTAGGGTAGAGGCGTAGCCTCCCCTGCCATCCCTCATCTTGTGCTCGCCGCCTAGGGTCTGGGTCGTCATATTCTCCACCCCTTACGGGCACAGCGCCCTCGTTGTGGCCCCACACGCGGTCGGGAGGAGTTGGCTCTGATACCACCTATCAAAACCTATAACGCCCCGGGTCTGTCACTGTACAAATATTGTCCGCTTTAGACTCCACGGGGCCCTCACGATTTTGTTCCTCTAGGCTCTAGAAAATGTGTATGTACAGATAGAGAATCCCGAACCTTATAAGCCAGCCCATAACTCCCTTTAGGCGATGTGGGACAAGAGAGGCTCCTCTCCCTTCCCTGTGCACATCCGAGGACCGAGACGCGGACAATACAGAATTCAAATGATCCATGCCGACGGAGGAGAAAAGTACCGGAAATCCGGATAAGTTTGTCGATAGTTACTGTTCTCCGTCAAGAAAACTCTGTGCAATTCACGATGTTGTTGATCCCACTGTTCCGCGAGCTGCAAAGAAGTGAGAATTTTCACTGGGTTGCCTCCTCGTTATAATGGCCCTCCTTCCCCTCCCCCGTACGGGTGGTGGGTGCGTGTTTTTGGTTAACGCGTCAATTTGTTTATTGTCAGGATGTACTTGACATGAATGATTGAAGACGACAGGACAGAGTCGGAAAATTTCGTCTCACGTACCAAACGGCAACGACTTGATATTAATGAAATGATTTGCGGATAGAAACGTACAACGAAGAAGCATGTGAACTCTCAAGTTCTTTAATGAAGGGACATCTTCTCGATTTTTCCATTGAATTTGAGAATCTATGCATGCTCGTAATCATGTCTCTTCGTGTAGCATGTGGTAGGAATAGGCGTCCTACTCAAATGATAATGTGATGATATATTCCAAATTTGGTTTACGTGAGCTTGAATAACATATGGATAGAGGAAGTATTACTAAGGAGAAGTATTTTGGAGATGTTGCGGCAGAGGATCCTCGCCCTTTGACACGTGGTCCATGGAGAAATGTTTGGTTGAAGTGAACGGTAGATGGTGTTAGTGAAGGGAAAAGTATCAAAAAAGTCTTTAATCTATTGCGATTGTGTCAATTCAGTTATAAATATGTATTTTGCCAATTGAGTTCTATATTTTTTTGCATTTGTGTCAATTCAATCCATCCGGCCAATTTTGGCCGGCCAGCGCTTACATGGACACCCTCCGATACCAACCGTCCTGGCAACGCTGATGTGATAATTTTTAATATTTTTTTTGAATTTTTTTTATTTGTCCTTTTTTTCTTTTCTTTCTCTTTTTTTTCTTTTGCCCTTCCTTCTACCTCCAGCTAGTTGCTGGACCGGAGGTCTGGCGATTGGCCAAAGCGAGGGTTGGAGAGGCCGAGCATCACTAGATCTAGTGAGGACTCGCCTAGCCATGACGAGGTTGAGCTTCGCCCATCCATAGCGAGGCTGACCTTGCCGTCGTTGGGTAAGGCTCGCCATGGCTGGGCGAGCCCTTGCCGGCCCTCACATTTTTTCGTAACTCCTATACAAAATGTCGAAAATTGATAGAGTAATCCACATACATAATAAAAGAGCATTCCTGCTCGTGGTGGAGTACCCTTGGACATATTTGCTCTATCATTGCCTCCTATTCTTGAGGAAGCGATCGGTATTAAGCCGCATGGCGATACTCGCGAAAAAGAAAGAGCTTTGTATTCTCTTTTTTTGACGTGGGTCAATCGTATTCAAATTCATATGGGGAGAAGTGTAAGTCGCGAAAACGGCACCCCGAGATCTCCAAAGCTAGAATCTAGAACTTATTAATATAGAAAAAAGGATTTGCATATCTGATTTAGGATACATCGTTCTTGATGCGGAATAGCGACGATCCGTAAATTCAAGCGCTTCTCCTTTATTGCCCTCCGCATCACTAGCTCAATGAGATTGTCCCTCACGATAGTGTTCTGTAACTACTCCTTATGTGAGGTTGTTTGTGCATCATGGTTAGATGAGAGACTTGAGCACTATTTATAGAGTTTTAAGTTACAGATCGAGCTTTACTCGATCCACACTAACCAGACTTATATTAGACTAATTAAGAATCTTTATATCTTACCTTATTAGACCAATCCCGTAAATGGTAAATTACAATCTCAATAAATGTAGTCCACGTAAAAAAAACTCTTACATATTAATCTTAATTTAGAATGAAGTGCAAGGGAAGGATATATATATATATATATTGAAAGTGTTCCTCGAACAGAGAGGATTGTCAAGAGGGAATCTACATCTAAAACCCACATTAAAGACGCTTAGATTTGGACTCAATCCCATTTAAAAGCTATAATCTTTTTAAATTATGAGTTGATTAAATTTCGACAGTTTCATAATATATATATATATATATATATATATATATATATCAACTCTCAGACGCCAAACTTGGGAAGAATTACCAAAAAAATAAGCTTTTTTTTGTCAATTCAGTCGTATACTTTTTGCATTTCTGCCAATTTAGTTCATTCAACCAATTTTGGCTGGCCAGACGGCTAGTGTTCGATGTTGACGTAGACGCCAGCCGTTCGGCCAATGCTGAAGTGGAAATTTTTTGATTTTTTTCGAATTTTTTATTTAGTTCCTTTTTTCATTTATTTATTTCTCTTTTTTTTTTTTTTTCCTTCTGCCTTCCTTCTACCTCTAGCCAATCGCCGGAGGTTCAACGACCCGCCAAATGCAAAGAGTACAACCCGAAAACCCATGTCTCGATTAGACTGTAGAACTCATCATGTATTATTAAAAGTAATTCGATGAAACGTCCAACACAAAAATTATTTATTGCATCGAATCTTTAATGTTATACAGTAGAGTGGACCATTTGTCACCGTACATCAATCAAGTATCAACACACAAACATGAACAGAAGCTTCCCAACTAATACAATATTGTATTTTCTGTCTGATTTGTTGTCTGGATACACTGCATTATGTTCCATCGTATACTTGCACAGAGGGCAGGTACATGAGAAAGAATACAGTCCTCCTCTACGCCGGCAAGCCGCACAATTGCCTGGGAACGAAATCGGGACGCCCACTGGTGGCAGCGGCTTGGTGGGTGGAGTCGGATCAAGCCGGCTTCGCAGGTGCTGCCGCCGCTGGCTTTGCGGCCGGAGCAGGTGCCTTGGCTTTTATCCAGATTCTGATCTCTCGCTTCCGGATGTAGTAGAAAAGGAAACCCAAGAGTATGACGATGACAAGGACTATGCAGACGATGACCCACGCCGGGACGTTGTCGTCGTCGTCGTACGATACCGAATTCGGATCGATCCATCCCGATGGAGGAGGGAAGTAAGGGAAACCCGGATTATTTTGCGGATAGTTGTTGTTCTCCATTAAGAAAACTCTGCAAGCGGCGGCAAGTTTACAGACACATCTCCAAACATCAATTCATACAAGAAAACGTAACAGTTCTTCAAAAAGACGGCACTTCTTTAGAAAAGAAACCATTTTTTATCACGACGAATCGAGAAGATTACACGACCAGGGATGATCGATCACGGGCTTCAGCAAGATAGAATACGAGTCGAAGGAGGTGCTGGTACATACCTTAACAAGAAGATCCGAGCAAAACCAGGGAGTGATGTTATTGCGATGATTCTTCCACAACCAGCGAAGATATGCGAATTTTCGTTAGGTGGCCTCTCGTTATAATGGGTGGCTGTGCTTCGGTCAGCACGTCACGATTGAAGACGACGAAGGAGCAATTCTTGGTGATTTTTTTATTTCGCGCACCAAACGGTGTTGATTTGATACGAATGGCACTGTTTGCAGGCACAGACAAACGGTGAAGACGTCAAATTCCGTGGGCCGGTGCTTCGACCGAGGACACGAGACGTTTCAAGGTTGGACGCTTCCACGGGTGTTGACAAGGAACGCTAGAAATGCGAATCATCTTAACTCCACAAGTTCTTTATTGAGGTGACATTGTTTCGATCTTTCATTGACTTTTGAGTATTTACGCAAGCTCGTAATCATCTTTCCTCATGTAGCATATGGAAGTCAAATTATAGTGTAATGGTTTATTTCGAATTTAGTCGATGTGATCTTGAATAGCATATTCATAGAGAAAATATAAGTAAGGAGACATATAGAGAGCTTCAAGGCAGAGAACCCTTGCTCTTTGACATGAAGACCATGGAAAGTTTAATGGGAAAATTGTCCAAAAAAGTCATAAATCTATTATACGGCGGCCAATTCAACCCTGAATCTTTTAATTGTTCAAATTTAGTCTTAAACTTTTTGACAACTTGCCAATTTTCAATTGTGTCAATTTAATCTTACATTTTTTGATGATTTGCTAATTTAGTTTTAAACCTTTTAATGATTTATCAATTTAGTTTTTTCGGTCAATTTTGGCTAGAAATTGCTAACGTGACGGTTTAGTTAGCAATGGCTGTCCTTCATGGCACAACTAGCGCTAAGGTGGAGGCGATGGCCAGCAGAGGGAAAAAGAAAAAAGAAAAAAAAGAAAAGTTTGTATTTTGGATACCCGTATAACCATCGAAGACCGTTGAAGCGACGACTTCCTAGAATTCAAGTGGCGTGGGGGACAAGGAAATTGTTGAAGTTACCATTTTTTTTATCTTGTGTCAACCCATTTGATGTTAAAAAAGTTTTTTTGTAGGAAGGTTGGCTAGAGATTTCTTGTAAAAACACTAGCCCCGCTCTGTCAATAATGAGAATATTTCAATCTTTTTTTATTCCATGCATTATTCTCATTATGCACATAAGGGAGGAGCTATATGATGTGAAAATATCACATACGGAACCATAGCCTATTTAATCAATGATTACTTATAGAAATGATTCGTTATAGCTATTATAAATGATTAATGTGTATTAAACATGCAATACGATCTAATCAATATCCAATTTCAAATTTCTTTTTTTTTTTGAGTTATCTTATAGAAGGTCCACTCTACTCAAATGAGAGGATAAGATAAGAAAGAAAAATGACAGATGCAATAAAGATAAATGCATTCCAAACCGCAATGAATGAGGTATTCCTCAGTTGTCATTTAGTAAACAAAAAGAATTGATCGTTCGATAGAAAAGACAATAGGAAAAAAAGAAAAAAAGAAAAAAATTATAAAATAAAAAATTACAAAAACTGTCCATAGCAATACCAGCTATGTCACGTAGGACGGCTAGCACTGATTAGATTGCCACGCCAGCGAATTCTAGCCAAAATATGTTAGAAGGACTAAATTGGCAAATCGTTAAAAGTTTTAGGACTAAATTGGCAAATTATCAAAAATTTTATGACTAAATCGGCACAATTGAAAATTGGCAAGTTGTCAAAAAGTTTAAGACTAAATTGATATAATTGAAAGGTTTAGGACTTAATTGACTGACGAATGATAGGTTTAGAACTTTTTAGACAATTTTCCCCCAGATTGTTGAAGTGAATGGTAGATGGTGTTAGTGAACTCAATTAAGTGTCTTAAATTTGGGTTTTAGATGCAGATTCCCTCTTGACAATCCTCCATTCAATGATCAAAGGATATAGAATATATGCATTACTGACTTTTGTTTGCATGCTATTGATCCAACAATACGGCGTTTGGACAAGAGTTGTAAGAATTTATACTTGGGATGAATTGCTTCCTTTCTATTCGATGTTGCTGTGAATGCCCGGTACTTGTTGGCAATGCACTACTCCGCCCAATGTGGTGATTCCCATATCTCGACCATATCATCTAATCACAGTTGCACGGGTCTGCAGCTATTGGAGACGACATCGAAGAAACCCGACAGCAGCGCCGAACTTGACGCCTGTAGGATTAATTATATCCGAGTAGTTCTTTTGATTTTGAAGAAGGGAACTCAACTATCATATACAATGAAACCTCATGCACACTGAAAACACATGCCCTCTTTGGATTTAGGCGTTTCTTCTTTTCCTCCAACTGCATGAGTCCGCACAGAGTTGACAATGTTACAGCAAAACAAGGAGAGAAATGAATCAATCAACAATTTGTAATCTATCTCCAAAAAGGATATTAAGAACTATAGCGTGCTTCACATTCTTCTAGCTGTACCCAATTTATTTCTATGAAGGGTATTGTATGTGAACTCCAACTTCTTTCCTGAAGCTACACCATGGGCATCGGCACTTCATATGATACAACCCTCCACTGTATGCACACGATGGACAAGAACTTGGCATTGTTGGCACCGCACCACAAGAAGGACTGGGTGGCTTAACTTCCAGCGCATGCGGTGGCGGAGTCTCTGTAGCTGCCTCCACTGGTGGTTTTGCCGGTGGCGACGTTATTGGGGCAAGCTTCCAATCAGGTGTTGAAGACGGGTTTGTCTCTTTTTCGCGCCGTTTCAGGAATATGTAAAGGATGCAGCAGAGCAAGAGAACGGCGACGCCTATGACCACTTTGACCCACGTTGGCATTTGTGACGACGACCATGGTGACGATGAGGACAATGAGGGATCGAGCCATGTTGGTGTTGGTGGTGGGTAATACTGGAAGCTGGGAGTATCGGGTTGGCAACAGGCGTTGTCCATGTGAGCTTAGCCACCTGAAAATTGAAAGGGAGATTTCATTTTCTCTTCCTTATTAGTTCGATTTGTTTCAGAAGCGAATCTTCGTCTAATGCACATAAAACATGTATAGGAAGCCACGGTCCCATAATCCCAATAGTTTTCGGATTATATCAATACACGAACTTCATGTTCATGCATGAAGTACTCTTCTCAAATAACATTCAGTATATGCAAATGCACATGTATGCTCAAGAAAAGAAAAAGAGATCTTGGAACTGAACTTACAGAGAGCGGTGCCAAAGAGCGGGACGCTAAACAAAAGTCAACTCGTGGAGTTCTACGAGATCCCGAAGCACTGACATGTTCATACATTTGACGAAGATGATGAAATTAAAACAGTGGGATGTTTATCAATTTCTGGGGATCTAGCTAGGACTCATAGTTAAATGATTTCTAGTGGAAAAGGCATCCCAATTCATAGTTCTTTCCACGGGGTCAACGAGTCCATGTTAAGAGAATCCCATTAGCCAGCAAGGTATCTTCTTCAATGATTAACAGTGACAACGCTTCAGTATGAGAAAGCACATGCATGCATGATGATCATAGCAGAACATTTTAAAGAAACTGGGAAATGCATTGTGTTGTTGCTTGTTAATGGTTCATCTCATCCATTGCCAGCTGACATAATAAGAGATTCAACGTAAACTTTTCGTAATGTGTTGCAGGTATTGAGAATTGACAAAAAGTCAGTGGTCATAAAGCTATCATTGAGAATTGACGAAAGAGTTGAATCTATTTGAGTGTGATCTTTTCTCTTCACTCAACTCTTCCACTAATTTTTTTAGCAAATAATAGTATTAGTAACAATATGATAATTCTTAGAACACCCACTTCTTACAAATTTGTTAGGCGGGTCAATGCGATGCATGTACGAGGAACTGACATAACTCTTACGTCAAAATCCCGAAAGGAATTTCCTAAGCGTGAGAGGTGATCAGCCAACTAGACACACTATTTGATCGTGTCCAGTTGATCGGACGGCGACAAGGCACTTGGACATTCAATCCTGATTGAATCGACGCAAATATTTCCTGTGTCAAGGAACAGATTTCTTCCCATACCCCATTCCAAAATTAAGAAACCCCAGTACACTTTCGCATTGCCCGCAAAATAATAATGCAGTAATCTTAAAATAGAACACTCTTAGCAGGTTCTTCTTCGTGGCAAATGCAGGGACAAGACTCAAACCAGTAGCTAAATGCTTAACTGGAAGCATGTGCTGTCCTTTTTTAATTTAAAGATTCTTGATAGTCAAGCCGACATCGTTGACCTACGACCAATTGCGTAACAAAAGATACCTATTCCTTTGGACTTGCATGCGAAGCTGATCTCTGACTATGAAGCAAATGTCGTCCTCAATGAATGCTTTCTGAGTCATGCGCTGTTAAGTGGGGCCTCAAGCGACGCTCCAGGTCTATGACTGGAAGCGAAACTGGGTTTTTCTCTATTTCTTTCCTCATAAGCTTGAAGCAATTTTCAAAAGGGGAAAACGCACATGTTGCTTTTATTTGTTTTGTGTAGTGGTTGGGCGAATATAAAGCGGTTGAGCACATTGAATATCACCTACCGAATTGACAAAGCATGGGATTAAGAAAGTAATGGTCATAAATAAAACAAAGGAAGAGACTACTCTTCCTAAAATTTCAAGTCTACCCGGGGTCGGTTGATGTTCGATCTAGGTATAGTCAAAACACGAGCTATTCAATTCGTTTTCTTCTTGATGTTGTTGTGGCCTACCCTTCGAGGGGCCACCCTCGAGCAATAGGTTTAGAGGTACTTACTCGAAAGACAGTCCAAATTGGTATCCCTAAAAGACAGCTCGAACATATCATCTAATAGGTATTCCAAAACTGTCTATCAATTCCAAGCGTAAGCTCTCCCAAGTCCATATCTCATGTGACATTGATTTTTTTAGTTTATGCAATTATTAGGAGTCGGCACTGGCTATTATTGAGGGTCGGCTAGAAACCCTAATCAAGACGTGGGAGTGTTGTCTCGATGCATGTGCAATCAGAGATTTTTAGGAACGAGGACTTGATTACACTACTTAATTAACTAATGCCTTTTCGGTATCTAAACTTGATTATTTATTCACTAAAGTGTCCAGACAATCTTTTTACTAATTATGAGTCCTAAGGTTTTCGTTCGCTAGGTGTCCATGCAATGTTTATTATGGTCCTAAGATTCATCCTGACCATTCCAAAAAGGAAAATAACAATCAATGTATTGAAAAAGTAAAATCAAGTAAAATCGAAATAAATGTGCATAAACAGAGACCTAGCATTATATCCAAAAAAGAAAGAATTCAAAAACCCTATTGTAATGGCCTAAAGGCTTATTCAATTTTGAATCAAATTTTTTCTAAACCTAAAATGTTAATAAAAGCCTTAAACTATGTAAATTTTCCTTATTTTTATTATTATTTTTTTAATTCTGGAAAATGGACTTCGGACTGGGTCAGGAAACCCGGTCCTCGTTTATGGGTCTGACCTGGACCCTAAAGGTTTGGGTTGGACTT